GTGTGTGCTCCACAATAAAGATGGAGGAGTCAGTAACCTCGTTCCAGGAGGGAAGTTCCTGCTTCCTTATTTGTGGAAGTGCCGTTTATGAAGCCGGGCAGTCTTGTCCCCTAAAGTGGTCATCTCTGCCCTCAGTTAAAGTAGGGGGAATTCTATATTGTGTTAGACTCTAGGTTGTATCATAGACCTGGAAGCTTTGGACACTTCAAAGCCTGAGTTCAGTTTTCAGCAAATAAAGCCCACCTATGCGGGCAGGCCTCTCATGTGAATACATGTGTTCTCCATTATGTATGTAAAGGGGCATTTCAAGAGGTAACATGGCACACAGAAGGGTGTGCACCCGTCTCGCCCGGCTGGACCTGCAGATTGTGTGTTAACTTACAGCATCATGTTCCCTGTTACTGATGTCTGCTTCCAGCACTATCCATATGACCTGCTGGGCCCTTACGCACACAAACCCTCCCTCTCCTTTACCTTGAGTCTCTATGAGTTTGCAAGTTCCTTTTTGTTTTGTATTGGCTTTTTTTTTTTTTTTTAACACAAAGGTCTTTGATGGCGCTGTAAACCAAGCCTATCTATCCAAAACTCACTAAGTCCAAGGTGGCCTCAAATATATGGTGATCTTCCTGTCTCAGGCTGCTAAGTGTGCAGCTTGAAAGTCACATTTCTAAGCTTGCTGTTCATCTTTTTCGTTAATAGAAAAGGTAACCATCTCCTTTATGATAGTGGCAGCCTAGGAGGGTGGCCGCAATCTCCATTTCTCTGATCTTATCTTCCTCGGGTGCACCTTGTAAAATTATGCTTGTTCACTCGTCCCTTTCTGTGGAGCAGAAAGGCAGTAAGTAGCCTGTTAAATATACCTGGGCCAACTTGAATGTCTTGTAGTGGTGCTTGGCTGGACAGTGGCATTATGTTGTTCTACCAGATGATTGGCAGGGTGTTGTCCTGCCTTAATGAGGAGAACCATTTCCTAGTTACTCTTCTATTCTTTTCTAATCTGAAGTAGCATGAACTATCAACATGGCTGATGGGACTACCCCAACATCACCTTTGACCCCTAGTGTGCATTTTCAGAGACCTTAAGATGAATGTGTTCTAGCCAGAAATGGTGGTAACAGGCCTTTAATCCCAGTGCTCAGGAGGTAGGAGGTAAGGCAGGCAGATCTCTGAGTTTCAGGCTACATAGAGAGGCCCTGTCTCAAAAAAAAAAAAGGTTTCTCCCACTTGCTCTCTTCTGATCTCCCTGGTTTTAGACAAGACTTTGGCATATTGAGAAGGGCTTTCTCCACCTCCTGCTAGTCAGGTTAATTTCAAGGCTGTTGAAATTAGGAAGAGAAATTCCTGCCATCTTTAGATTTCATAGTCTTAATGACTGACCACTTATGGACCACTAGCCAGGCAGAAGGACCAGGGCTTGTGACCTTTCAGGATTACAGTTTGCAAGCTGTCCATGACACATTTTCAGCAGCTCTCTTCACACATCCCAATCACCCTCTGGGCTCCACATGGAGCACAGAGATGGCTCCCAACACTCATGATACTGTCTCCAGGTAACCTGTCAGTAGCAGAGAAGGTGCTGAATTTGCTTGCAATGTCAGTCTCCTCAGTCACTCATCTGGACTGTGGTGACCTAAAGAGCCACCTCCATTCAGAGCTTTCCTTCATCCTGCTGAGCTGACCAGAGGGAAGACACATCAGAAGTGCCAGTGTCATTGACAACACTGGTGTTGTCATAAAGATCTTATCACTGTCAAGATAGCTATACACATCTCTTATATGTTAGCATAGTATGGTCTACATTAGAGATTTTTTAAGTCTTTTTTTTGTATTTTAGTGTGCTTTCTTTGATTCATTAAATTTTTCATACATTATATTTTGGTTATGTTTTTTTCTCCTCCCTTCTAGATCCTCTCCATCCAAATTTGTGGTATCTCTCTCTCTAGATGTCTGGTGGCTGGAGGTTAGCTTAGAAGTTACAAGGACTTGCTGCTCTTCCAGAGGTTAGGTTCCCAGCACCAGTATCGCATGGCTCACAACTGCCTGTAATTCCAGCTCCAGGTGATCTGATGCCCCCAAGGAGACTGTGATGTTGTTAACTGTGAGAAATGAATTATCTTGGCCAAGGTCATCCATCTAGTAAGGGGTAAAATGGACCTAATCTCAACTTTTCTCTGTTTGCTATTTGTGTGTATGGGTGTTTTGCTTGCATGTTTATGTGTGTATCTTGCACTTGCCTGGTGCTGTGGAAGCAAGGAGAGGGAGTTGGATCCCCTGGATGAAGTTGCTTCATTGCCAAAGGTACTAATGAGAACTATCACCATTTCATTTTGTCCATCTAGCACTCAAAGCAGCCCCCAACTCTAAATCCCAAGACACGAAAACTAGGGAAATTTTTACATTTAGAAATAGAACCATTCAGAATAGTAAAGAGTATTTCATTTTTGCTGTTGATTTTCTTTGTTCCTTGAAATGGGGGTCTCATGTAGTCCAGGTTGGCCTTGAACCAACTTTGTTGAGCCTGGCTTTGAACTCTGATTCTCCCTCCAGCATGTGCCATCATGCCAAGCAGTTAAGGGTATTTCTGAAGATCGTTCATTCTATTAGATAATGAAAGAAATTTATATACAATTGAACATCTTAGCCAGGCAGTGTTGGCACATGCCTTTAATCCCAGAACTTGGGAGGCAGAGGCAGGTGGATCTCGGTGAGTCTGAGACAAGCCTGGCCTACAAGAGCTAGTCCTAGGACAGGCTCCAAAGCTACACAGAGAAACCCTATCTTGAACCCCCCCCCCAAGAAAAAATTGAATATCTTATAACTAAAGAAGCAACTAAAGTCAAACTTGGGGGAATGGTATATTTGCTAACTAGAATTCACTCAATAAAGTGAAAAAGCAGTATGTGTAATGGATTATTGGGCGGAAGTTTCCAAGAAGCAAACATGTCACATGTGACAAAACTAGAATACGTGTGACAAAATTTCACACTGTTGAGAAAGTATAAGCATATTACTATAATATATAAAAAAACCTCACACATGCAAGTTTCAGCAGCTTCCATGGGAAGAAAGGTTATGAACAGGTGAATGAAGCTTGTGTCAAGGGCAACCTTTCTCTGATTTGAGCAGCTCATGCTGGACAGAAAAACTAATCATAATAGATATGGACTAAGCCTCTGATCCAGAACTCCACTCTTGCTGGGCCCTATAATATATACCAGCAGGAATAACTGGTATATATTAGTCTGGCTCTTATTCCACAGGGGGGAAAAACCCATATTAGCAGATAAACTTGTAAGATTCACAAATTTGAAGGGAAAAAAAACCCCACAAAACTCTATTTGAGGGTTCAGTTTGATTGACCAGATATCTGGTAATCCAAAGCTAGGAAGGAGACCATTGGGGAGTTGTCAGTCCCCCAGCGAGCACAAAAAAGGAAGAACTAAGAGGAGGAATTTCAGATGAGAAA